TATCGAATCTCAATTACGGCCAGTGGGGGTTGCATCAGACGACATTTACGTCCAGATGAGCTGAAAAAGTCCTATAGACTGGGTACGCCTTGATTGATAGCCGCATATAATTAATGTAAGACATCTGGACATCTCCATTTTTAACGCTCTTTCGCGAACACCAGATAAACTGGCCATTTATGATCGCACTGAAAATACTCCAGCCGTTGGAGATCGAGGAAGGAAAATATATATATATATATATATATATATATATTAGATAGAGAGAGAGAGAGAGAGAGAGAGAGAGAGAGAGACGGCGCATACTGTGCCGTTTTCAACTGATACGACTATTGGGAGCATGTGATGGGTTTTCCTCGTCCGGACCTCTCTCTCTCTCTCTCATGGGCGACGACTTCAAATTGGCCCGCCTACTTACCTCAGCACATTAAACATACACTCGCACAAGCCATCCTGGTCGCAGGCAATATCATGGCGTACCCTATTTTCGATCACGGTACAGTAGATGGATAGATGCAATTGGATCGAATATACCAGTTGAGCGAATGAATGGACGATTCCGCTTTGTCTTCATCAGAAGATTGATTCGGTAGTACATCTAGGAGGTGATATCTGAGATGTTATATCCTTTCAATCAAAAGATGAAGACATAGCGGGATCGTCCATATCCATTCCCTCAACTCCTATATTCGATCCAATAACATCTATCAATCTATATCCTATTTTATCCATCCACCTCATACACTTATCGAATCCACGCTATACTTTCACGCCTCCTTCCACTGCACCCGCCTATTCAACCATCCACCTCAACATCCATCCTCGTCATCTACCCCATCCATCTATCTCATCAACACATCCAATGTGCCCCATTGTTCATCCTTTTTTGTTCATCTTGTCCTCTCCATTCATCCCTCCTCCTATGCAACATTCTAACCTATCCTCCGCTCCATCTATCTACCCACCGCCTATTCACAGAAGCGGAAATTCCGACGGCCCACCTCTCCCGATACTCAACCGATCTCAATAGTTCACCAATCTCAATGCACACTCATCAATC